AGTTTTTTTGCTCTTTTTGTTCTTGTCGTGAATAATGGGTCCCAAGCCAGTGATTCATGGGTAAGATAGAATCGTTTTTTCGGGGAGGATTCCTTCAACTAGGGTCATAAGCATTTCGTCAGGGGAGGACTCCATGTGGGTGGAACAGTGAAATCAGTTGTTTATTCAGCCACTTTAGAGTCCCCTTGTACATTTGTCTTCAAGTTTCTTCCAGAGAGCTGATGATTGCCGAGACGATCTCGTTGTTGACGGTACCGCCGACATGTGCCTACTCGATCCGGAAGGATTCGCCCAATGGCACCATTGTGAAAACAGCATTCGTCGGCGAGACTGTGTATCATCGATGGGAATGCGATGGAGGAGAAGGTGTGTTTTATGATTCTATGAACCTCCTATGTTTCTCATTGTTAGCATCAGTAACGGTCATCGGCTACGCTTTTCTACCCATCGTGATAATCTAGAATGCTTGTCATAAAAAAATGTCGCGGCAGGTAAAAGCAAACTGGTCCTATCTTCGCTTATGTAGAGCATCGGCATACCTCTTGGAGGGGGAGGGCTAGCTGATTACTCATCATGACTGTTTTCTTTGATTTAGCATAGACATTTGTCGACTAGGCGGTTCTCTCTTGTGTTTCTTTTGTGTAAGCCTTCAAAGGCAGCGGTTACGATAAAAAAGGGTTTAATGTGACGTGGTGGTGCTCAATGGTACGCCAGTGGCGAAAAAAGCAGAAAAATCCGTCAAGAAAACGCAAAACGGGACCCCCTTTTTTGGCCGTTGGTTTTCACTCATGAACAGGTAACAGCTCAGAAAGGACGTATGAACGAGTTCACCGCAACGCGTTTGGATGGCACCATGCCAAACCACGCTCCAATCGAGATGCTCCAGTTGTGCCGCTGCTGGCAACGCAGCTCGTCCAAATCACCAAGTAAACTAGTGGGCGGATCGCTTTTGGGGGCGGAGCGCTTTCGAAGTCCTGCTCAGCAACCAGCGCACCTTTCGTCGTGAAAGCGCCACATCTCGCTGGCAGCCAAGTAACTGATTCGTGTGGTGCATATGCTTCCCCGATGCGCTCCCTCTTTATCGTAATCGCTTCCCACCTATTCCGTGCGGAGGCATTGGAGTTTAAGCGTAAAGCATTAGGTGCAAGTGACTAGTGAAAATAGCGCGAAAAATTGAAATTCCTCTGAATAAGGTAGCCCTGGAGTCCAGTTAACACGTTGGCTGTAAAGTGGAGTAGATTGGGATGAGTCATTAGTCGAAAGGCGTCGACGGTAGCGCGCTGTGGTTAGGAAGGAGAATGGAGGACGGACACCCTCGACGTGCTCGGCGCGGTGACGCCTCCGAATCGCCTGTGCCTTCCAGTCATCGTGTTCTGCCTTTAGCCCTTAGACTACTTCGATTCAAAATTAGGCCGTTATGTTTCATGTGGTAACTATCGCTTCTTTCAACAACTAATCATCTATAGAAACTTGGCTGACGTGCGCTGGATTTGACCTGGGATTTGATCCAGGGACTATGCGCGCGGTAGCGGCCCCTCTTGTCACCACACCATCACCGCTCGAATGAGTTTTTGAATGTAAATTGTCAACTCAATTGACAATCAAATGCACAAGTTCCATATCTCATTCGTAGAACATCACCAATGTTCGGTAGCGACCACAATTGGGTAGAATTCCAAGCCGCAGATGTGCTGCGGTTCTATCGGATGCTTTTGCTTCAACGACCTTTCGTCGTCTTCTACTGCTCCCAAACCTGTGTCGTCCCAGTAGTCTTCTAAATTCATTTCCGCACAAGGTCAATACTATGTTGCGGGAATTACCAACGGGGTCGTATTTTGTTGAGTTCGTTAGTGTGGGGGGAGGGGTCGTATCGGCACTATTCCTCATTAATTCATTATGTGAAAGCTGGGAGCACATGGATAATTTGGCTATCATTTCGCAGTAACATCAAATATTGAGGAAATTATAACCCTTGAGAGAGGCAGGTGTAAATGTCACTGAAATTTTATTTATCGGTCCGGGAAAACCGGGGAAAACAGGTAATATTCACGCGCCCCGGCGTTTCTCCCCATCCATGTGTAATATTATTGTTTCCATACACGCACTTGACAGATGGGCCTCTATCAAGACCTTCGGGAAAGAGGGAGGATCGTAAAAAATTCCATGAAGTACCAACGGTAGGTTTCACCCTTATCGTATGCCGTCCCTCCCTGCGTGGTCGGTTAAGGATTGATACCAGACTTGTCTGCATTAAAAAAACGCTAACTGGTGCAACGGCGGGGTCCGCCAAGTCATTTAATTAGGTCAAATCCCATTCAAATGCATACGGCTCGAATGGAAGTGTAATGCGGTGGCTCACCCCAAAACAGCACACGTCGAATGTTATCCTACAAAACGTAGCCCGAAATAATTTGACGCAGAAAAGGTTGTTGTTGGGCATTGATCGTGTAATTCACAACATCACGCCTATGTTCACAGCTTTGACGGAGGTGCCAGTGGTTCAGACGAAGACAAAGTTAATTAGTGAATTGATGTGGAACGGTGGTACTAATTGAAGACCTGTTGCAGAGGCGAACAACGTTTACGGTATCCAAATTCATAGCTGTTTCGCTAGTGAACGATGTCGACAAAAGGTTCCCGATCGTGGACAGCCGAGGGTACGAGCTCAGGCTATTTTATGCGCTAATTTCCTAATACTTGTTCCATAGTACTCAAGCACTTCTTTTCAGTTGTTCCTCCGATTTGACACTGCTATCAGATCCACAGTACTCAGACGATAGCCTTACTGCCTATGCGGAAAGTAAAGCGTTCGCCTTCACAGAGGCAGAACAGCTGAAATTCGTCTGTAAACTCAGTCTGTGCACAAGGGACGGAGACGGTTGTGAAGGCGTTACGGTAAGCTTTTTCTGGCATAAGTAATTGCTGTAGACGACCTATGATTCGTTTCAATACGTCAGCAAACACTAATGAGGGCAATGGGTACCCCCCAGGAGGCCCGTCGCGCGGCAAGAAGGCAAAGTCAGCGGACGAGTCGCGCGCGTACTATAGGGATTTCGCGTCAAGTTAAATAGAGTGTCCCATTGCACGTCCTACATCGCACACCACGCGCTGCAACTCGTCCGCCGACTCTGCCTTCTTGCCGCGCGACGGGCCTCCTGGGGGTACCCGAGGGCAATGGGAACAACAGAACTAAGCTCATTACAAGAACACTCGTTCAAAAGCTTTCAAAGCTAAAGGTGCGGGTTCGTTTCCCGTCTGGGGCAAAAGTTTCGCCGATAGCTCAGCATTCTTGTGGAGCATTCGCAACGAGAGTTGCGGTGGTAAAACAGCAGTCAACGAGTAGTCAAAACAAGTCAAAACTGAGTTCTTAGACTGATCGAAATAAACCTCTCCCCCTACTAATCTAACCTTTTACTGGAGAAAAATGATTTTGGCTTTACTGAATCAGCCTTTTTACTTCAAAGCAGACCCAATTTTAGCCTCCAGCTTGTGGTGGGAACTCCCCTGATCAGTTGGTAACGCGACGGGTTCGCCATCAAGGCTCCGCCATGGAAGGAGCGCTCAGCTCCGCCCTCACTACCAAGGTAGGTGTGTCCTCGAGCATACCGTCTACCTTCAATGGCCGCGTAGCGGAAATGCTGTCGTCCGGAGGCTCATGGATACTTCTGGCTTTGCTAGCCGTGATAGCGACTATCGGAACCGGTACGTTAACAATGTTTCCACAAAGCACTGGAGAATTTTACATCCCATCTTTTCAGTGGTTCTTTCTCGATATGCTCTTTCGTCGATAGATGCCTCAACGACCTGTTCGGATCCGGAGACAGTGACTTCTCCTCCAACGTCGCCGTTTCCCTCGCTGTTCTCTTCGCCTTCTCCACCTATATCACCTATCCCGCGAGTGAGCTCCCCGCCAACGTCGTCCATCTCGTCCCCTGTCCCTGCGGATTCGGCGACCCGAGAAGAATTTGCTACCTCCACAATTAATGAGGAGGAGTCTGTACAAGGAGACATTGTGCAGTCTCCCAGCGAAGCAGCACCCTCGTCTGACGAACCAGTCACTTCACCGCCGTCAGCCGATCGACGGCCGTCACGGGCGGAGATGAATCAGCGATTAGCCGCCTTTCTCGCAGATTTTGATCGATCCAAATATGTCTAGTTGTTGCCAGTAATATTAATTAATATCTATTCACTATTTGCCATAGACTGTGTCTAGTGTGGTGCTAAAGTCACAGTGTCTCTCACGCAGGGTATTCCTACCGTACCCGCCTATCAGGATAACGATTATTGCTATGGCTGTTAATTTATTCCGTCCTATCCGACTGCATTGCACCGATTCACTTCGAGTACTGCCCGGATTCTCTGGCGCGCTCGATCCGAGAATCGAATCTGAGATCCTCATTTGCTATCTCACCATTTTGTTATCGTTGCCTTATTTTCTGATTGCATTCCTTAATTAAAAGAGCAATAAATTTTACAAATTACATCTTGAATTGCATCCATTACGATTTCTCTTTTTTTTTCAATGGCGCTCTACGATCGCTTTCAGCTCACCATAGAAGTTCAAAATAGTTGAAAGTATCACACAACGCACGTCCACATCGACTTTATGGATGAGCCATGCTTGCGAAATATGTTTGGGATTGTAGATGTAGTTTGAAGGATAATTTGCACATACGATGAGCTGGGAAGTCAAGAAAAATCCATGTCAGCATTCGTGTTCTTCCTGAGACAAGTGGCAAGCAAGAATACATGAAGGAAGTAATGAATTGCTTCTAAGAGTCGAGTGAAGTGCTGCAGCATTAACATTTCTGTCTGCCCCACAGCTCAACCTTGAAAGTTGTCAAAAATCCTAGTTAGTCTAAGCACAGTAGCCTCAATACCCTTTCAACAGTGCTGCGTTACCATCCATTGTTCTTATCTTCACTTTTTATGAACCAAATGAGAAAATGTCATGGTTTTTGCTTTCATTCAGAGGAGGATTCCACAATGACGGTTCGTGTAGAAAAGGTGAAACCCGCTACGAAGCGAAAGCAGGCAGCAACCCTCGAATAGAGACGAAGCGTTTACGCAATGAAGGATACGCCCAACCTACCTTAGTCAGGACCATCCTCTTGCCGCTCGCTGCCACCCCGCACCCGCATTCGCCGTCGACCAGGCCATTTAGCAAGGAGAGACAGTGCGTGTGTGTTTGAGGGTTAGCACACCGTCCCACTCCACCATCGAAGTCGCATCCGGATACGAAATCACAGGCCAAAACATTTCTCGGGTTCCAGACCACTTCTCTTGTTTTTTTTTTCTCGTGCGTGCATCACTGACCACCGCTCGTTGATTTCTAGTGAGCTGCCTTTTATCGTGAACTCCGTCCTTGAAGGCACGAACAAGAACAGTTTTACTCAATTTTTCACCGTAATACAGCACTGTAAGTACTACGTTGTTCCTTCGTGAGCCCCTGCCCTTTCTATCAGGATAAACTTGTAGAAAGCAAACGGATGCGGAGCAATATGAATGGTCAAGCAAAATTTTCGGAACTGCGCGAAAAATAATATTTCTCACATCGTAGAGCTTAAATATAGCAATCATCATTGCTTCGTTAAGTACAAATTAACATGCCTCTACTGCCTTTGAAATTCTCTGGAGTAAGTTCATAAATAGAAATTGCCTTACATGCGAAAAGAGTGTTCATCGAAAGTGACATGTAAAGTATTTCGATTGTTGTAATGAAGAGCACTGAAAACTGAATTTGAGAAGCCATCTAAGGCCAGGTGAATGCTAAATATTTCTACACAGAGACTACATTATAACATGCGAAACCTATTTCCAAAGAAGGAAACGTCTACTTTCCAAGTGATCAAAAAGTCCAAAGACCATTAAATCTGTCGTAGGGTTCAGTCGATTCAAGATCAAGCATCAGTGTCCAACAACCAGGTACAACCGTGCTAACAAATCCCAACGAGGGGTTGGTTGGGGTCGTATTTCGCGTTATGTTACAAGTAAGAGAAATGATGATTGCAGTTAGTTGCGCGCTAAATAATTTTTGCCGTTTCACGCTGTCCCTCCCTGCTCGAATTGGAATTTTTGGAGGACAAAGATCGTTGTCTCAAGAACCGATGTCCTATCAGCATATATAATAATGAGCCCATGATGGCGATTACATGCGGTGGTGGGGATATCGCCAAGTGGTTACCCCTGAGGGGGTGGGTCGTCCTCGAGGCTCCTCTAGAAGCGTAAAAGGATCGTAAAATTTTACAAACATGTTTCCCTCAAACTGACGTTGACCCTGCCACACAGCTGCGTTCTGCAGTCAACGTGGCGCCTGGATAGCATTCGCCTCACTTGTTTGCAGCATAACTGACACAGTTTCCATGAACAGCCCTCTCATCTTTTACAATGTCATTCCACATACCACTTTTCCCAGCAATAAAAAAGCAAACTTGACAAATTTATAGAAAGTCACCTAACAAATGAAATTCAAACACAAATCGAAAACGAAATGCATATAAAAGTTATTAATCACGGAAAGTTTCATATAAAACGGTTAAAATGCAGATATACTGAAAGATCTGTCACTGCCAGATCACCGTCGGTGGTAAACCTTCTTTGGCTTTTTCCAACGCATTTTCTAATTTCTGTGTCGAAAACTCAGGTGATTGTAGTCCATTTCCAAGGCAGTCGAGTGGACCTCAAAAAAGGGCCTGAACTTATTGAAGATAATCGGAAATTTTAACGAAATCTTGCTCACCTTTGAAACGGGAAATATAATCTGACTTTATAAAGCGTTCTCTTATGCCCATCACAGCGAATGCTGTCGGAGAACAGCACATTGGACCTAATATACGAGAATATCAGGTTACCAACGCATTTCCTGTCACCAGATCAGCTTGGTAAATGGATAAAATCATTTGCCGCGCTAAACGCATCCTACCCCTTCAACTAAAATCGTGAGGCGTCCTAACTGCTGGTGACGCATAATAATTCCATTAAGGAAGTTCCTCAGTGCTTTCCTTCTTAGAGTATTCCTTAGACTTAGTGTTTAACGTTATAACAAATGGTAACCTCTATAGGGGAAGGCAAAAAAGTCACTCTTCACTCACATTCAAAACAGAAGTAATTACACTTTGCCAGAACCAAACCGAATGAGCTAATTGCATATTGAAGAGCACATTCTATTCTATCAAAAAAATTACATAGGGGCTTTCTACACCGACGACATCAGAAGATTTTCCCACGGAAACATGGTTCGCGGTACAAGCTCAACGATGTCGTCAAGAAACCATAGACGAATTATCAACTCTCTTCAACCAAGAGAGATATTTTCGATAAGTTTGGGTTCATAGTGGAAGTGGAGATGCTGAATAATGCTCCAGTGGCGAAAAAAGCAAAGAAATCCGTCAAGAAACGGCAAAATTGGGACCCCTTTCTTTGCCCGTTGACCTCCGATAATGGACGAGCTAGCAACCAATTAGGAGGTCCGTTTGCACATGTTGTGCTGATAGCCTCTATCATTATCACTTCTATGCCAAGAATCATAGCTTGATTGAATCACCACCAACGCCCCAATGAAAAAAGTATATAGATAACCACTGCTCTGGAAGTGGAATATCTCGTCACATTGGCAATCGAAGGGCGCTGCTGCTGGGGGCGGAGCACAGACCGTGGCGGGGCTCAGAAAGGAATGGCAAGCCTTGTACGCTGCAACTAGCGCACCTTTGACCACAAAAACGCAACATTTCGTTTCCTTGGGCCCCTGACTACTGCTTCCAATGGTGCATGTACTTCCACGCTGCACACGCACTTTATCGTAATCTCTCTTACACATTTGGCGCACAAGCAGTTTTTGGGTGTTCCCGAAAATTGCGTCCTAATGCTGAAACGCTTCCATACGGTGTACATACCAAATCAATGAGAACACAATGCGGAAACTGCTGAAACATCATTTGTCTCGTACAAATGCTTAATGGCTGCAAACCAAGCAAAAATCTCCCCGTCCCGCAGAGGTGAAACTTCGGAACGCTCTCGGAAAATTCCAATTTTCCACTGTAGAATCTCACAAATGGCCTTGAACCTAAATTGTTTTTGCCAATTTGCCTGTACCCTCATATGCAGCTAGCTAATACATAACACAAAGCGCTTTCTAACCACAAGAATAGACAAGCGCTATCATTGGAAAATCGAAATTCAAAGCATCCTTAAAACACTTTCACTCTCTAAAAGATGTCATTCCGAAGTGCCATTAAAAGTTTGCCAACAGTATTCGATTAATATCACCGCTCAAATTTGTATATGTGCGCACAAGAACGCAAAATTCACGGATGTCGTTTGGTCACATTATCCGGCCCATCGGTTTTGAATCGGACGCAATTCACGACGTGTCTGCAAAAGCAAACCCATCAGCAAATTAACCTAGGGATGGTGAGTGGTACACGAAAGAAAGGAAGAACCATGAGAAACGGCCCAGAACCCGAGAAATGGTACCCTTCCTTGCCCGTTGATTCGAGCATTGATGCGACTCTCATCGCTGTGCCCTCTTCAACACTACGCTCTCTCATCTTAATCACATTGCTACGCTACTATGAACTAAAACGGCGATGATCGAGATCGTGGCGGAATCGCCGGCCCTGTGGCCAGCTTTGAAGCAATTGTCGCCGAGGTCCAATTTTCCATGTCGAATACGCTCTGTAGCAGTCGCCACAACCATCATGAGTCCCGTATCCCTCAACTAGGCGAATTACTAACTTCTTCGACCTTCATTCTAATCGTGAATTCATCCTTTAAACGGTGGTCAGAAGCGATGTTACATAGTCAGAGCTAGTGTCCCTACGAAGCCATTTGCCAGTTATCCAATTGAAGAAGTTATGTAGCGGCTTCAGAATGGAGCGATTTATGTTATTCCTTCCTTGAGCATTCAACCGGTGAGACAGAGACGTCATATTCTGAGAACTCGGCGAAAGCAGCGAAGGTTTCTAAATCTGCTTATGGAAACAATCTAAGAATAGTTCGCCGTATAACTACAATAACAACGGCATCCTTTGCGACGAAAAGTTCGATGACATGCGCCATAGGCAAAATGGTTTTTTGCCCCCCCCCCCGGGATGTACATAAAATGCCCTAATGGCCCAGATACACTGACGTGCAAAACTTAAAGCAAGCCCTCCCCAG